TCTAATTATTTCTGGTTGATTAATATATAAAAGAAATGCAAAGTCATAAGGTGTCCCTCCAAGTCCGTTTTCTGCTTCAGATTACTGCGGAGAACTGACATTTCCATTTTTGTCCCAGGGACAGGAGATTAGCGTCGGTTTAATAAAGAGCCCCCTCACCTGTGGAGCCCGAGCCACAGCAAAAGAAATGTACTTGCTTTCGTAACTACTGGAGACAAGTCCGCCCTCCGACCCTGGCAGGCGAAACGCGCGGGAGGTCCTGGCGAGCTTAGGCGGGAACTGGCAAGAGAGGGCGCGCCGCGGTCTCGGGGCATTGCTCCCCGGGGCGCCGCCGCCGAGGCGGGCAGCTTCACGGAGGGGCCCCGGAATTTCTTCTAGGTGGGTTAGGGCCACAGGGGAGAAAACTGGCGCAGCTAGTTTTCCACCACACCTTGGGGATGGGGAGTTCAAGCGGCCTCCTCGCGCAGGAAACGCACATTTTAGGAGGGATAGGCCCCTCCTAATTCTCAGACTTTTGGAGTGTGTTCAAAAGGTTGACAGACACAGGTCCAAAAGGGAAGCATCAGAGTACGCAGGACTGGGATGAGAAGGGGCCATTACCCTATTCCACCTCCCTTACGGCTTTCTTTGGGATGTTGGAGCCCACCTCCTCAGGAATCCTTTCGAGCCTGAGGGCTAGGGTATTTCTGTGTCTAGGAGTGGGGTTTTGGAAAGCGGGTGACCAGCACCTTTGGCCAGTGTGCATTTCTCTGCGTAGTCAGCAGCTCCTAGCGTCCCCACCTCTCTTCGTTACTACAGTTACATTCTTGGGGGGGATATGAAGTGTGGCATGAGGGGAGGAGAAACGGGAAGGTGGTCCGCAGGAAGCGAGGTTTAGGAGCTTCCATCTGTTAGGGGAGCTCTCCGTCAGTTGTCACGGCATTTCCCCAACCTTAGCGTTCCCTCAGTTATTTGTTCCTCGCAATTTTAAAAAAGCCTTTCTCCTTTCCTACCTGAAAATAGGCCCGCAACTATTGCATGCGTTTCTTGATCTCTTTTCAAGGAATGGTAATAACTAAAGCAAAGATTTCTTGTAATATTCTTCAGCTATCGAAGCTAAAAGGCAGCTTTCTCCAAAGTCTCAGGCACAGGACGTGGAGAACTGGGATGCAGCCTTACTTGGCGGCCTCCGCCAGCGTCTTGGCCCTGTAGTCATTAGGTAAGGAGGAGAACGGGATGGCTCAGGTGGATTTTGAAATCTTCGAGCTTCAATGGAAAAGCATAGTAAAGAAGTAAAGACTGGGTGATTTAAACTGGGAAAACGCCATGCTCCTAGCAGCGTGGGCTGGTCTGATTGACGCCAGCTAACCGGCTTAGGGAAGAACTGCAAGAACGGTGTCGCCAAAGCTTTCAGATAAAAAGCGCTCTTCGTATCACAACCCTATGATTCAAAACAAGATCGGCATTTCACACTCCAAGGTAAGATGACCTGCAGACCGGCTGCATCGACCTTTGCTTATTTTGGCATTCCTGTGTTTATCAAATAAGTTAGGGCTGACCACGTAGACAAATAAACAAGTGCTAACCTAGTAACCAGCTCTTTCCTTCCATTTGTAAATCGACAGCACCTCCTACAGGAATTAATTTGCCAGTGTTAAATTATGTCAAAGAGTAGGCCCAGAAAAGGGGAGGGCTGATGAAAAAGTCTCCTATGCCTAAGGCACTTGACTGCTAACCAGAAAGCTTGCGGTTCAAACCCACCAGCCACTCCTCGGAAGGAAGATGGGACAATCTACTTCCGTAGTGATACTGCCTCGGAAACCCAAGGAGGGGTCGCTATGAGTCTGGTCGATTGGACAGCACATAACAACAACAACAACATGCCTCCCAGTGCAGTTCTAGGCCCAAGGGCAAATGAGAACCGTCACTAGCTGTATCTAGATTACTTGGAAAGACTTTCTCCACCAAGGGTAAGAGGGGTGACATATTACTTTTTTTTTTTTTTTCCAGTAGTTTTCTATAAATTGGCACTGTTCAGGCCTTTGGGTTCTTGAATCTTAGATTCCTTAAACTTGCAGGATTCTTCTTTGGCTTTCCATACTCAAGAGAATTTCAACACATACAGCTAGACATCCGTTTTTATTGTGATGTTTCTACTTCCCATTTTTAACGTAGATTTTACAAACAAAAGAATTAGAAGTCTTTCTAGTATGTTTACAAATAAAGGCACTTTTAAGTCATTTTGCCCAAATCATGTGGAACAAGGTGAGCTTTTTTTAAAACTTGTTTCTCACCATGTCATGATTCTGTGTGAAAATGCCTCCATTGCAGAGTAGGAATGAAAGTGATTCCAGCCCTGCTCTGATCTTCAGGTTGTCTAGTGCCTTTGGGTGACCAAGGCTGAAAGCCAAACAGTAAACCAACATCTTCTGCAACGATATGGGATTGTTCTCAAAATCAGATGGGTAAGCCTCCTGGTTTCTGGTAGCACTTTTAGAGTTTCTCAGCTTTAGCCATGAAGGAAAATTAAATCAGAGCTTTTTTAAGTTTTTAAAGGTAACTGAGTTAAAAGTGGACCACACTTTTGAGTCAAATGAGAAATATGTGAGAAATGATAATGTTTTTCTCTAATTCATTTTAAATTATAGGCTGGATTTCAGCATTTCTCCTCATGAACACTGTAGTGGTTCACAAACCTTTTAAGGCAGTAAGTATTGCATAGGTTTTGACATTATGAAAATTATAAAGTCTAAAAGGGTGTAAGGTAGAAAATAATCACCCAACACTGATGAACTCAAGGTGTAAATTAGCAGTCTATCCATTTGAAATGCAGGCATTTTTAAGGAAATGAAAGGGATCTTTGAGGAGCGCTCTCAATTATTAAGGAATACTGTAGAAGGAATTTAAGTTCCTTCCCCCCACTGTCCTCCCTTCACTAAAAAAAAATCTAACTGAAAGGGTTGTGTAGGCTTTAAGTTAGTTTATTCTAAATCAGGATGTTTTTTATATGTGCAGAGGATATGGAGTGGTTTCATTTAATTCCTCTCTTTCAAATTTATTTACATACATAGATCTTGTAGATCTTATGAAATTGTGCCTTCCAACCGTAAAAACCTTTTATTCAGTATTTGTGTTGTATTTAATAACAGACATTTTTAAAATGTGGAACTCTGGTAACAAAGATACTTGTGTCCATAATGTAAGTGTATGGATTTTTTTTGAATTGCATGTTACTTTTGATTGGTATTAAATAAGGTATGTTCCACCCCCCCCCCCCAAGAGTTTTGAAACAGGAAAATTTTGAAATTTGAAAAAGGGAAAATTTGCAGCTAAATTTAAATATGCCTTACATACATACAAGGAGTGCTGGTAGCACTGTGGTTAAAGCATTGGGCTGCAAACCAAAAGGCTGGCTGTTTGAAACCACCAGCTACTCCACAGGAGAAAAATGAGGCAGTCTGCTTCCATAAAGATTTACAGCTTTGGAAACCCTATGGGGGTCGTTTTGAGTCAGAATCAACTCAATGTCAGTGGGTGGGTTACATACATATACTCATGAAATATATTTAAATAGCATACATTTTTCCATTTGTGGCATTATATACATAAATCATTTAGAAGTAAAATCTTAATAAACCAAAACCAAACCCATTGGCATTGGGCTTCCAAGACTGTAAATGTTCATAGAAGCAGACTGCCCCATCTTTCCTTCATGGGCTGGTGAGTTTGAACTGCCAGCCTTCTGGTTAGCAGTCCAATGTTTTGGGTACTGTGCCAACAAAGCTCGTTAAAATCTTAACAGTTGTAAAGTTAAAATCTTAACAGTTAGAAATGGCTATGTTTGGTAGGAAAGAATAATGGTCCCTCAAAGACGTCCACATCCTTATCCCTGGAACTTGTGAATATGTTACATTACATGGCAAACGGGAATTAAGGTTGCAGATGGAGTTAAGGTTACTCATCAGTGGCTCTTAAAATAGATTATCTTGCATGTTCTGGGTAAACCCAATATAATCAATCACAACGTCTTTAATAATGGCCAGTGGGAGCTCTGGTAGCATAGTGGCTAAGACACTTGCCTGCTAACCAGACGGCTGGTGGTTCAAATCCACCAGCCACTCCTCGGAAGGAAGGTTGGGCAATCCTACTTCTGTAGTGATACTGCCTCAGAAACCCAAGGAGGGGTCGCTATGAGTCGGGTTTGACTCCACGGCACATAACAACAACAACAAGCGTGATAAGATGTGAGAAGCCCTTGACACTCCTTTGTTAGCTTTGAAGATGGAGGAAGAGGATCAGGAACCAAGGAATGTGAGCAGTCTCTGGAAGCTGGAATAGGTAAGGAAATAGATGATTTTCCCGAAGAAACTCCTGAAGGAAAACAGCCCTGCCAACACCTTGATTTTGGCCCAGTAAGGGCCACTGTAGATATTTTTTATCTCCAGAACTGTAATATTGTTATGTTGTTTTGCCACTAAGTGTAAGGCAATATGTTATGGCAGCAAGAGAAAACAAATACTTTACCCTGGAGACAGAAACATCTGAATGGAGTTTTAAGAGTATTAAAGGAATATTGATCAATTCTTTGTTTAATTTACACTAGTGAATTCCAACAGTGATTATACTTTGCTTCAAGCAAATTTATATCTTAAAATAATAATTTTGAATAAAAAAAAATTACCCATTCAATGTACTGTCATTCTTTTAATGATATTTCAGAACAAACAGTGTCACAGTTATATGGGCTTTTTATCTACTATTGGGCACAGGAAACATTTACTAACAGAAAATATTTCTACAGCCCCAAAGCAGATTTGCAAATATTTGCAAAATTCATTCTATGGTACTCATGTTTTTACACTTGAAATGGCAGTTTACATAGATGGAGAATTAAAATAGAGATTTTTTTTTTTTTTTTTAAATTAGAAAGACAATAGTATCTACTTTAGCCCTTACTGAAGGTATTCAATGAGAAAGTGGAGATATTTTTATTCCCAGGTAATATCACATACAGTTTCTCTTTATTTTCTCTCTGCTTTGGCTTTAGTATGCTTATCTCCTGAGTTCTCTCTGTGTATTGCCTCACCTCTGTACATATCTGTGCATTGGTTTCTGGTGTCATTTCTTCTATATGGCTCTTCACTGGGGCTTTGCTGTGTCCGTTTTCTCCTCTCCCTCTGCTTGTAGCTACCGTGACTTCTACTTCGGCTTCTCCTACTGCTCTCATCCCTGCTGTGGCTTCTGCCACTCCCCTCATGTCTTTCAGATCCTCTTTTCTTTGGGCTATAGTTGTGGCTTTTGAACTTTTTGTCAGAATCAGAATGGCTCCATTTGTTATTCCCAGAACTCTCTTGTTTTAAAAATGTAGGCTTTTCTCTATCTTCTTCCTTGTTACTGTGACTGCCAGAAAGTTCTTCATAAAGTTTTCTCTTCTTAGACTTGTCTCTCTCTTCAAAATCACTGCTGTGATACGCAGAACACTTGTTTTTCTTTCTTTTCTTCTTTTGTGTATTTTTTTCTTTGTTGTCACTATCACTCTCACTGCTGTTTTCTGAAGTTTCACTGGAGGAGGAAGAAGAGGAAGAGGAGGAGGAGGAGGAAGAGGAGGAGGAAGAAGAGGAGGAGGAAGAAGAGGAGGAAAATTTATTTTTATGCTTTTTGTGTTTACTTCTGCTTTTCTGAAGCTTTTTCTTTTTTCTATCTTTTTTCCTTTTCTTCTTTTTCTTCTCAAGTCGATCCAGTTTCCTGTAATTGGGATAAAATAGAAACAGATATAATTGTGTATAAAATAGTCCTTCCGTCAACAACTGTAAGATTATGAATTGATAACATACTTTCTTAGAAGTGATTAAAAGTGGCATCCAAATATAAATACATTATTTATTAAATGACAAATATTTTTCTTCCTTTCAAATTATTGAGTCATACATACATACAGTAAGTTTACAAGTAATTCTTAAATGCACTAAGCCTATTTTCTAACTATATTTTTCTCAATAGTAATGACCTTAAAAAAAAATTGTTAGTAACTAAGAATTTGAAATTATATAGCACTCTAAATAAATGGTCATCCTGACCTAAAGAAAGCCAGTGAAAAGTTTGTAACATTAGTTAGATCTACAGGAAACTAAAATATATAGCTCTAATCAGATGAAAAAAAATTAATTTTATGAATGGATTATGTTAAAATATAGTAATATTAATAAAAATTAATTATACTACTGAAATTCAAAACATATTCACCAGAAATTCTGAATATGATTATACCCAATTTTTAAAATATATATTCTTTTTTGGTTATAAAAAATAATCATGTACTCATTTTCAATAATTATTTAGTTTTATAAGTAATTAGGATAATACTATTAAGAAGGCATTCTGAATTTTTAAAGAGTACTTCACATTCTCAGAAAAGTAATGTGTTTATACGATACATTTGTAATGTGTTTATATGATACATCTGTAACGTGTTTATATGATACACTCGAGGAACTCTGAAATAAAAGTGTCTTCATTAGGTTCTGACTCCTTAAAGGGAAGTGAAGATAACAGCGATTCTCAAACTCCACACACTGAAAACATCGAGGGCTCCCTCTATTGGACTCAGCAGACAGTTCTTGGATTCTTTATTCCAGAGCTAGTCTGTTAACAAGGTTCACATTTACTTTATATTTAACCATTCTTTCAGCATTCCTATAAATTTCAGGAGCTTTGGTAGCATAATGCATGAGGCACTTGACTGCTAACCAGAAGGCTGGCGGTTCAAACTTACCAGCCACTCCTCGAAAGAAAGGTTGGGCAATCTACTTCCATAGTGATTGTTGTTGTGTTGTTGTTATGTGCTGTGATACTGCCTTGGAAACCCAAGAAGGGGTCGCTATGAGTCGGGTCAGACTCCACGGCACATAACAACAACAACATAAAATTTTACAAAATGGAAAAAAGAGTAATATAGGCTCAAAAAATATTTTCTAAGAAGAATCTGTATAAAGATATACACAAATCTATTATGCAAAGTAAAATCTATAAACCTACTAATAAATTATTTTGAAAAGTGTAAAGATTTTGTGGTTTTATCTGCATATACAATCTCACACTCATTTTCTCATTACTAAAATAAAGATGATTGTATTCCTATAGCTGATGAATAAATCAATAAATGTGATGCATGCTTTAAAATGTTAAGTACCTTCACAAGCTCTTAGGATCTGAGTTGAATATGATACTAAGAAGAAACATACTGAAAAAAAAAAAAAAAAAACCAGTTGACTCCATTATTAAATATATACTATTTAATTACCTGAGAAGTTTCTGTTTTTGTTTGGTTGTCAGTGACTTTAAAAATTCAACTTCTGGATCTTCTTCACCCTCACTTGCAACATATTCCTATATCAACAAAGACATTAAATTACTAGATTTCTGGTAAGTTATTTATGAGATAGCAAAGAAAACATTTACAAATAAGGTTTGTTTTACGGACATACTGCAGATGACTATGATTATTTTGGACTAGGTAGTGGGAGGGAATTAAAAATATTTTTCATAGACTACCTGCCAAAAAGGATTAAAAAAACCAAACTCACTGCCGTCAAGTCAATTCGACTCATAGCGACCCCTCCTTGGGTTTCTGAGGCAGTATCTATCTCTGCAGAAGTAGACTGCCCAACCTTCCTTCTGAGGAGTAGCTGGTGAGTTTGAACTGCCAACCTTCTGCTTAGCAGTCAAATGCCTTAGGCATTAGGCCAGAAGAGGATTATGATGCACTAACAGGTTGAGATGGATGCTTTGCCATATTAGGACACTTTATCAGAAAGAGTATGGCAGGGAGACACAGATAAAATGTGTATATAACATGACTTCCATTCTTTGTGGCTATTCCTTGAGGCTGAATCATATTCAACACTTGCCCGTTAACATACGTTATTTGTAATTTAGTGAAATATTAAAACTAAGATCATGAACCTTATGATTAGGTTGGAACATCCATACTTTTAACCTTTATAATTTCAAGAGTATATCACCAAATATGTGGTAATATAGCTTATATGAGCAATCCTTAACAATATAAGAAAAGTAATGTGTCTCTTTTCAGGGCAGCACAAATTTACACCAGTGAGAGTTTGGGTTTTGGTCTTAGCTGCCTCTAAATAGCCACACAGCTTAGCAAAATCACTTATCTGGGCTTCAGTTTCCTTATTACATAAAATAACTGGTTTATATTAGAATGTACATGGTCTTTCAAATTCAACCATTTTCTGGATCTATGTATAGTTTAATAAATTAAAATAGTTTAAAATATTTTCTATAATTTTTAGGGATTTGTTTTTATACACTTCTTTCCATTAGTTCTACTGAATGTCACATCTAAGTTAGCAGCAAGTGAAAACTAATTCTACCACCAGTTCAGTTAGATATTTGATCTACATAAACTCAGAGTAGCAGTTTCATTTATTAAAATACAGGTTTAAAAACAATTTATCATTTAGGTTAAAATAATAAAGAAGCAAAATCAAAATACATTTTAGGCATTTTCTTTGCTCTATCCTGCTTTCCTATGGATATGCATATTGGAAAACATTAAGTAGTAATTCACAAGCAATCACATTTAGATTTATAGACATTTTCAGCTTACTGATAAAAAGATCATTACCTGTGATGGATCATTTGCGGTCAAGTTTCTCCCCAGTACATTTCGTTTCAGTGCAAACCCACTGTTTCTCATTTCCGCTATTAGCTCCGAGGGGTGCATCGATGGCCCTGTTCACAAAAATCACAGTTTGAATGTATCATTTATGTCTCTCTACCTTTTTCGGACTCCACAGTAGGAATGCAGTTGAAGCTTTGTTAAGTAAAATCACAGCTAAATCAACTCAATAATCTTCTGCTGAGCAAATAATCAGATATGATTTTCTAAAACAGCAGTGTGGAGACTCAGAATAGAAAATAATTGCATTTTCCTTTGCGTGCGAGGGGATTCTCTTCTGATGTAACTTTGCCATAGTGAAAAAGATACATTTAGGTATTGTCTGGTTGGAGTTTTTAGTATAAAATCAAAGTAAAAGGATAAAAAAACTACAATTAAACTTTTAGTTGGCATTCTGAGTTAAATTTAAAAGAGATACTTTAAAGATGCATGAGTAATTTGTGATTATTCTAGTTTCCAATTCAAAATCCCTCACCTTTATTTAGCAAATATCAATACTGAATATATTGCCATGAGGTAACTAATGATCAAAAACATACACACAAAATCCCATGAGTAAGTACTTTAATCTCTCTCTCTCTCTCACACACACACACACACACACACACACACAGATTTTAAAATTTTCAGATATTACTTTGGGGTTGGTGACAAGCAATTTTAGGCTGGCTATAGGTATGTTATATTTTACAAGCTGCTGTTTCCACTTCGGCAAAATCTCAAACTGAAAAGTGAGTTTCTCTCTGGTCACATAATAAGGGCTAAAGATAGACAGATTAAAAAACAAAACAAAACACCAAAAAACCTGCCCCTTTCTTCAAATATTGTAACATTTATGTTACATAGGAGAGATTCTTTTCTCCCCTTTCATATATTCCAGTTCATTCTGTGTTCCTTCTAGGAAGCAAACCAATGGTGACACTTCAAGGCAACTGTAAAGAATTTCTGGCCTGTATCATCTACTCTAGTTTAAAAGAGCTACCCTGGGCAATGCATCTGGAACATAAGGAACAAAAAGACAGTCTACAAGGAATCCCTAAGGAGACTGTGGGATAGAGGAACTACCAGAAACAGATTCTCTACTTGTTGCGCAAATGCTTCTATTTCTTTTTCTTCTCACTGGTTTCTTAGTCTTTTACCGCTTATTTGCATGCCCATCTGCATGTGGTCATGGAAAGCAAAAGGCAATAACATTCAAATCTGTTCACCTGTCAACAGCATCTCTGGCAAAAAGTTTGGTTGGAAAAATTCAGGTGTAAGTTTCTCTGGTCTTTACCTGATCCTATTCGTGTTACCAAAAACAACTGAAAGTTGGCTTTAGGTATTAGAGAGATGATAGGGAAAACCGCCTATTATTGATCTACGGGTGAGTTATTATTAATAATGTGATGTTTTAATTTACTGGGAGAAAAAAAAGCCTAGTTAGTTGACAACAAAACAAAAACACTATAAAGTAGCACCTTTATTTCATTTTGATATTAATATTTTATTTAAAACAATATAGGATTGTTTTTTCTTCTAAACAAGATATTTAATTCCTATGTAATACTTTAATGACCTTTAACTATCCCAATTTGGTTGCTAACACTGATGATAAAATTGTAAATAAAAATGGAATTTTAAATATTAAGACCAGTTGCCTTTAAATGGCATAAAAGTGTTAATACAATTCATAGCTTTAAATGAGCTAGAGAATATAGTTCAATGTACTTTTTGGTGCCTTTTCAAATTTCACATGTAGAAACATAATTTTATTAAGTAGAAAATTTCTCTTCTAAAACGTCAAAATTCCAACAACTTTATTAGATGTCAAATGAATTCAGAAAGCAAATATGTTAAGAATTAGGATAAAACTACTCCAGTAAAGGGGCAAAAATCTTGGCCATTGTGATGAGAGGTTACTAATTTAATCAGTTTTCATCAAAAGATGGGTAATTCTTGTAAGAAGTTTTAGAAAACATACTTTTTACATTTTCATTACAGTACTTCAAACTACTTCGAGAAAATGATCCCTTTTCTTCCAGTCTGACAGAGATTATATAGACAATGAAACAAACGTTACTCATCTAGCATTTCTATTTCTCTAAAACCCCCACTGACCTCTTTGTGTAGAACATGTTTCCATATTCCAAGACTGTAAATGAAGTGCGTAGTGAAGTGCCTGACAAACAACACTCAATAAACAGTGACAGATATTATTTTTACCAGTAGCTGTAAAGATTTTGATTATTTCACAAATTTTTCATAATTTAAAAAAGTATTCTTATGCTTTCAACTTTTAAGACACAGCCCTGCTTCTCTATTTGGTATGGAGGAGAAGAAAGGAGGAGGGCCATTCTCCCTTTACAAATGTGTGTGGGCTTTATGATGTTCACATTGCTGGCCTTCATGAAAAGAGAATTCAGAATTGGGTTACCAAACAAAAATTTTTTTTTAACAAGTATTCTTATTGGTAATACAGTAACATTTTAAGTAATCCTGTCTTATTTGCATATTTTTATACGTTATATTTTCTATCATCAAAAAATTTAGGTTTAGAAGATTATGATATATTTAGCAAGATAGCTTTATACTTCCATGTTACTGTGATAGTAGCTATGTAGTTAAATTAACAGAAATGACTCTAGTTCTCTAAGAATTTAAATTTAGTTGAAATGATAGATTATATGGATATGTTGATAAGATAGATTATATATATATATTCAAAACTAAATTACATAAAAAATTACTTTCATGTATGGTGCCTTAATAATTGAAATTACAGCTGAAATTGGGCCTTAGGAATGTTTGGCTTGCTCTTACATTCACTATGACAGAATTATTCTTGGGACTTCAGAAAAACACACTTGTTCTAAAATGTAGGTTTGTAAGGACTCCTTTCTAGATCATCTCAGCTCAGCTAGATTAAGTCTCAACAACATGGAAAATCATATTCCAACTTAGAAACACAGATCCACTGAAGAAACTGTTTTCAACATTCATTTATTTTACAAACTTTCTTTACTATGACACAGATAAGCATCAAACTACTGATTGTAACTATGGTCATCAATTTTATGTCCTGATTACCAAAACCAAACTCACTGCCAGTGAGTCAATTCAGACTCATAGCAATCCTATAGGACAAAGTAGAAATGTCCCATAGGGTTTCCAAGGCTGTAAATCTTTACAGAAGCAGACTGCCTCATTCATCTTTCTCCTGTGGAGTGGCTGGTGGGTTCGAACCACCGACTTTTTAGTTAGCAGCCCAATGCTTTTAAGCACAGTGCCACCAGATCTTTTCTACTCAAAATATACCATGGAATCTGTGCCTCAGGGAAGAAAAAAAAAAAAAAAAAAAAGAGGAATTTCCCAGAAGGCAAAGGTCCAATTATGTTTAAAAGACTTAATCTATTTATTAGGAGCATTATTTTTACGAAGTAAACAAAAAGCAATGGAAGGTAAAGAATGTTCTACAGTAATATAGGTATTTTATCACAGAATATATGAGGTCAAATATTCTAGCTCTGAGAAAAGGCTGTACAACTGACTCTACAAATAAAGAACAGCAGCCCCAGAGTGAAATGCCACAGGAAGATTAATGCTGAAGGCAAAGACACTTGCGTTTCTCTGCTAGCACTAGGTCCATCTGCTCTTCCCAAGGTCAGATGCATCTTCCATTCAAAGTTCATCATTTCTTTCAAATGACACATCATCTTCTACAATTTTATGGTATAAAGTAGAAGAGGGTACAGGGTACTGAGTTAGATTAGGTAGGGATGAATAGGAAATGTCTTTCCCTCCCTGTCCTAAATTTAACAAATTAATTGATAGATGCTGCTGCTTGCTGAAACTAAATTGCTATGCCTAAGCTAATATAGTTTTGCTTGCTATTATAGCAGTAATCTATTTTTCCCCCATTATGTGTGTGTTAGAAAATTAAATTTTCTACTATGAAAAATTTCAAACTCAGAGAGAATATGTAATGAATCTATCAAATAGCTTGAGGAATTATTAATACTTCCCAATCTTTGTTTCATCTATTACTCCCAACTTCCTTCTTTCCTCAGTTCTTTCTTTTAGACATCACTTCGGTATGAACCACTAACTAACAGGCACTATTTCTTAAAAATAAAGCCACAACACCTTTAACACATCCATCAAAACCGAATAATGTAGAATCTACAAAACACATAACGTGGATGAACTTGGAGAACATTATGCTGAGTGAAAAAAGTCAATCACAGAAGGACAAATACTTTATTAGTTCATTACTGTAAAAAGTCAAGGAAAGGTTTATATACGGAAGGGAACTTTCTTTATTGGTTACCAGGGTGGAAGGGGAGGGGAGGGAATACTGCTAGAAAGGTAGAGAAAAGCATTCATTTGGATGAAGGGAAGTGCAATGTACCAAATGTGAGTGATTAACATGGTAGCACTGAGGAAGAGGAAGACATAGAGAGGTACATGGGAGGTACAGACAACAAAGATGAACCTTTTGCATGTACAGTACTGCACTGTCAGTGATGGCAAGCATTGATCTACAAGTGGATAGATGGGCAGACAGGCTGAACAATCAGGTATGTCTAGGCAGGGGGTAGTGTGCCCATGATCATGCACAGGGTTGTTGTTGTCGTCAGGTGCCATCAAGTTGGCTCCAAGTCACAGCAACCCTGTGTAAAATAGAACAAAACACTGCCCGGTCCTGTGCCAGCCCCACAATCCTTGCCACACCTGAGCCTATCGTAGCCACAATGTCAATCCATTTCATTGAAGGCCTTCCCATTTTTTGTTGAGCCTCTACTTTACCAAGCCTGATATCCTTCTCCAGGGAATGGTCCCTTCTGACAACATGACCCAAGCAGGTGAGATGAAGTCTGGCCATTCTCACTTCCAAGGAGCATTTCAGCTGCAGTTCATCCAGGATCTATTAGTTCTTCTGGCACTCCACAATACCTTCAGTATTCTCTGCCAACACCACAACTCAAAAGCATCAACTCTTCTTCAGTCTTCCTTATTCACTGTCCAGCTTCCACATGCATATGAGGCAAGTGAAAATATCACGGCTTGGGTT